TTTTTTTATTGAATTCTTTTAATTTAAAATTCGCTTTTTTAATATAATTTTTTTTTTATAGGTTACGTGCGGAGAATTTACTCACCGGGTGTGCAACTAATCTTCTCGGTTAGCGTTTTAATGCCGAACGAGTACTTTGGTGAACTGTCCAGAATGATCTTCTCGGCCTTTTCCGGATTGTAATCACCAGGTGCTGGCGTAACTGCTTGTTTCGTGGATTTTGTACGTCCATGCAACGATGATGCTGGTGCTGCGTCTTTTCCTATGCATAAGGTACATATAATACGATCACTTTCGTTAATAGTCTTTCAGACTCATTGACAAATATAAGAAGGAAGGAAAAAATTGATTTAAGATTGAAATATTTAAATATTTAATAATTATACAGGGTGTTTCAGTAGGAGACTTATTAGAGAAGAATTAAATACATAAGATGATAAAAAAGAAAAAAGATGTACAGGGTGTTTTAATTATAATGAACATCTAAATTATACAAAAAAAACGATCAAGGTCGTTGATATTTTTTCTGCATATTTTAACCGATATCGGGGCAAGTTCAACGACCTATGATATTATGACCTTGATTATGACATGGTTATAACATGACCATAAACAGTAGTATATCAATTTCGACGACCTTGGAATAACTTTGAAGATGATCTCGGGGGACTGTTTTTTATCATCCCCAGATGTACGTCCTTAAACCATATATAAACTAGTCATTTTTTTCTTTATAAAAAAGTCTTAACAATATATAATAATTTAGATGTTGATTATAAGTGAGACACTCTGTATAGTGTAATAAATTCCATTAACAACTCTTCAGATACTACTAGCAAATATGAAAAAGCAAGGGAAAAATTAATTTAAGACTAAGATTTTAAATATTTAATAATTATACAGGATGTTCCGGTAATCATTGAATGGAAAGCAATGGAATTTCATGAATGGAGCATATTAAAAGAACGCGCATTCTTGTGGAATATTACTGCCTTGAAGTTTGATCGATACCATACTGAACACGGATAATGCTGTTCGCAACATTCGTTTTTTTTGTTATCTACTGGTTGGGCTACATTTCAACTGTAATTTTTATCCCCGATCGATTTGGCTATACGAAGTTCTTTTTAATTTAGAACATTCTACTTTTTAGGTGGACTTACCTTTGGCGCTGAGCCCGGAAACGTTGTATTGACCAGGACCAGGTCCAGGACTATCGTTCTTCTTTGCGTGTCTAGAATTGTGAACAAAGTTAAATTTAACGGGGAACAATATATATCAGGGGTGGCCATAGCGCGGCTCGCGAGCCGCGTGCGACTCTTA